GCAAGGAGGGACGCCAACGACGAAGGGGGAAGAAGCAAGGGCGACGAAAACACGCCAGCCAGCGCAACGACACCCCGCGCCCCACGCAGCCGAACAGACGGCCACGAGACAACGACCAAACACCGCGACGAAGGGCGGGGGGGGGCGGTGGCGGAGGCGGCGGCGGGGGGGATGGCAACGGAGACGAAGGGGCGGCGGCGGAGGAGAGGAGGACGGCTCTCAGCCAGATGCTTGACGAAGACCCTTCGGAACGCAGGTAGAATATACCCGGTATATATATTGCGTGGCGCGTGCGTGCGTGTATGTGTGTGTGTGTGTGTTTTTTTTTTTTTCTTTTCTTGAAGTAGCATCTATACCGCGCTTTAACCGGCTGGCCAATGGAAATATATGTCAATACCTCAGTGCGGCTGAATTTCTCAAGGCCATAAATCTCTGTGTGTCTTCATTGTGAGCATCGACTACGCTAGCCGGCTGACCAATGAAAATACTTGAGTCTCAGTGTGGGTGAAAACAGAAAATGCTTCAAACGGCCATGATATGGGACTCCGTCAGGGAGGTGGTGAAGTTTCCTTTTTTGGTCGTTCCTTTTGTGTCACAACTCTCCTTTTTTGTTTGTCTTGTGTTGGCTTGTCTTTTGGTACATAATTTTCTCTTTTTTTTCCCCTTTTTTTTATTTGTCCATGTGTTGGCTTGTCTTTTGTTCCTACAGTAGTTTTTTTTTTTCTCCTTTATGTTGTTTTATCTTTGTGTTGGCTTGTCTTTTTGTTACTTAAGTCTCCTTTCTCTGTCTTGTCTTGTGTTGTCTGTTGGTAACATGCGTTATTTTTGTGTTGTTGTCATAATAGTCTTGTCCTGTCGTATGGTTGGTTGTTCCTTTCTTCCTTCAGGCGAAAGTGCGACCGGGACGAGTGCGAGCAGATGGCGACACACGGCTTCATCCTCCCCCGTCTTTGTGGGCAGCACTCGGAAGCACGGGTACGTGGAGTGTGGGGCTGCTGCACTCGTGTATTATAGATACATGCCGTAGTCGGTATGGTAGACGATAGACCTCAGGAGGGGACTGGTTATCGTCGATACCCGTACTTGGTGGGAGGTATTCTGTCAGACTATGTGTAGCGGGAAAACATGCATAAGGGAAACCATAAAATTGTGTGTGTTGTTTTCCTGGGGGGGGGGGAGTGGAGAACATGTTCTCCACGCTGCGTGGCCCTCAAGTCTGTAGGAGAGCATATCAGAAGGTGTACGTCGGTTCTGGTGGCTGCCGAACAACCAGAGGGGGGTGTGTGTGTGTCGGCGGGGGATGGGACTGCTGTGGCGAAGACAGAGGGCGACGGGGGCTCCGCAGTGTGCGGCGGCAGGACGCGTTCGTCGGCAGGAGAGGCGGTGGGAGGGGCTAGGGGAGTTGGAAAGGGTTCGTGTGCATGTTGATGTTGCTGTTGCTGTTGCTGTTGCTGTTGTCCGTTAGGAGACTTGATGGGCAAGTTTGGCAGGTTTCCCTCACCCCGGAGAACAATGCTTCCACCTCCCTCTCGAGGACACCAAGCCAATGGTCTTAACCGGAAAGGCATGCAAAACGTGAGTGAGTACGCCCCCTCCCCCCCCCCCCCCCCCCCAAAAAAAACACCCCACCCCTCCCCAACCCCCCCCCCCCCCCCCCAAAAAACCACCAAAAAAAACCCCAACCCCCCCCCCCCAACCCCCCCCCCCACAACCCCAAAAAAAAATAACCCCCCACCACAAAACCCCCCCCCCCCCAACCCACAAAACCCCCCCCCCCCCCCCACCCCCCCCCAAAAAAAACCCCACAAACAAAAAAAAAAAACCCAAACCCCCCCAAAAAAAAAAAAACCCCCCCCCCCCCCCCCCCCCCCCCAACAACAAAACAACAAAACCCCCCCCCACCACCCCCCCC